GCCGCCGAACCCACCATTGACCAAAGCAGCCCTTACTACATTCATCCAAGCGAGAACCCCGCCCTGATTCTAGTTGCACCACCGTTGGACGGTTCCAATTATCACAGTTGGTCACGAGCAATGCGTATGGCATTGCTCTCCAAGAACAAGATTAAGTTTGCTGATGGCACGATTCCTCCACGTCGGTTAATGATCCAATGTTTCTGGCATGGGAGCGTTGTAATAACTTGGTCCAAGGATGGATCATCAAATCTTTGTCTCCAACGATAGCAAGGAGTATTCTGTGGTTCGATAGAGCTTCCGAGATTTGGTCCAATCTTCGTTCTCGATATTCTCAGTCAGATATCTTTCGAATTGCTGAGTTACAGGAGGAGATCTACAGTTTAAAACAAGGTAATTTGAGCGTTAGTGAATATTACACCAAGCTCAAAATTCTCTGGGACGAACTCTCCAATATCCGTCCCATCAAACCCTGTGATTGCGGATCCCTTGGTACTGAAGCAAAACATCGGCAGGAGGATTATGTTATTCGGTTTCTTAAAGGATTGAATGAGCAATTTTCCTCGGTTAAGTGTCAGCTAATGCTTATGGATCCTCTTCCGTCCCTCAATCGTGCTTTCTCCTTGGTTCTTCAACAAGAGCGTGAGTTTCTTGTTTCTTCTGAATCCAAGATATTGCTGACCAAAGGTTCGCGTCCTCCTGGTTATAACTCCTCTGGTTCGAAATCAATAATGGTAAACATTGCACCTATTGTGGGAAGCCGCGCCATACTGAAGAAACATGCTACAGAAAGATGGATTTCCACCAGGCTTCAAGTTTCGCTCGGGTTCCTCTGCCACTGTGAATAGTGTTTTAACACAAGATTCTGTTTCTGCTCAAGATATCAACACTGCTAAGCCTCTCTCTTCACAAATCAACTGCATAACAGCATCACTTCTGCCTCAATTGTCTGCGGATCAATATCAGCGTCTTCTTACTCTTTTGAGTCCTTCTCAACTCTTCCACTACTTCCGTTAACCACTTATCAACTTCTGTCACAGGTAAATGTTTATTCCATTTTTTCCTCAACTCATCCAACATGGATCATTGATTCTAGAGCGACTGTCATGTCTGTTTTCCTTGAGTTTCTTTTCTTCTTATAGATCTATATCTCCTATTTCTGTAAGTCTCCTACAGGTTCTTGTTCTGTCGCCTCTTACTCAGGGACAGTAATTCTTCTCCAATTAATCTTTACATGATGTTCTTTATCTTCCAACTTTTACTTTCAATATCACTCTGTATCTCGTTTGACCAATTCCCTTAATTGTTTTTTAACTTTCATTCTCATTCTTGTCAGATACACTTGCTCCAACCTGCATGATGATTGGTACAGCTAAATCTTTCGAAGGGCTTTATTTCTTGACTGCAGATATGCTTCCTTCCTTGGTAATTCCCAAATTCATGCTGCCACTAAATCTGTCTCTAACTTCACCCTTTGGCCACTTCGATTGGGTCACCTTTCAAATTCAAACTCTTTCTGTTTGCACAAGCAATTTCCCAATATTTCTTGTACCCCTCAGTCCATAGTTTTTGATACCTGTCATTTTGCTAAACAAAAAACGCATTTCCTTTCCTGTAAGTTTGAGTTCCAGCAATAAAATTTTTGATTTGATACATGTTGATATTTGGGGTCCCTTTTCAATTCCTTCCATTCAAGGTCATAAATATTTTTTGACAATTGTTGATGATCATTCATGATACACTTGGATCTTTCTGCTTAAACTAAAATCAGATGCTAGAACACAACTAAAAAATTTCTTTACTCTTGTTGAAACTCAGTTTTCCACTTCTGTTAAAGTTCTTCGTTCTGACAATGGGCCTGAATTTTCAATGCCTGCATTTTATGCTTCTAAGGAATTTTACAGTCAAACATCTTGTGTTGAAACACCCCAACAGAATGGTATTGTAGAACGAAAGCACCAACATATATTAAATGTTGCACGAGCTTTATTTTTCCAATATAATATACCTATTATTTACTGGTCTTTTGTTGTTCTGCATGCCACATATATAATAAATAGGCTCCCTTCTCCTGTTATTCATAATTTCACACCTTTTGTAAAACTCTATAATGCTGAGCCATCTTTTACTGATTTTAAAGTCTTTGGTTCTTTATGCTTTGCATCCACCTTAACTAATCATAGATCCAAATTTGATCCAAGATCTCGAAAATGTATTTTTCTAGGTTTTCTTTTGGTTCAAAAGCTTACATCTTATTAGACTTAGCTACAAATCAGATTTTCTATCCAGAGATGTCCTTTTCCATGAAATGATTTTCCTTTTAAAGATAACAGTGTTCAAACCCTCTGCACCTACTATTCAAAATTTTCCTCAATTTTAGATGACCCTATCTGTCCTCCTTTCTCTCCCTCACAATCATCATTATCTACTTCTACTGTTTCACCATCCATTGACACGCCATCTTTCTCTACTACTGCCTCATCATCTGATTCTATTCTTCCCATTGATACTTCATCTCTCTCTACTAATGACTCTTCACTTCATCAATCATCCCCTTCTACTGATTCCTCTCTTTCCCCTGTTATCCCACCTTCTCAGTCACTTAGACGTTCCACTCGAATCCATAATCCCCCATCATATCTGCAGGATTATCATTGTGCTCTTATTCATACTAACCAATCATCAAGTAAAGGTAATCCTAGGTATCCCCTTTGTTCTGTTTTATCATATTCTTCTCTTTCTTCTGCCTACAAAAATTTTATTTTCGCTGTCTCTACTATTCCTGATCCAAAGACTTATACTCAAGCTGTTAAACATTCAATTTGGAGAGATGCTATGAAAGCAGAAATCACAGCACTTGAACAGAACAGTACTTGGGTTCTAACTCCTTTACCACTTGGCAAGAAACCCATTGGTTGCAAATGGGTCTATAAAACTAAATTCAGGGCAAATGGTGAGATTGAGAGGCATAAGGCCAGACTTGTAGCTAAAGGCTACACACAAACAGAGGGCATTGATTATTTTGAGACTTTTTCCCCAGTAGCAAAAATGACTACACTACGGTTATTATTATCCATTGCAGCTGCTAAAAATTGGTTTTTACACCAGTTAGATGTCAACAATGCCTTCCTCCATGGTGATTTGAATGAAGAAGTGTATATGGAACTTCCCAAAGGTTTTACACTTCCTTCCCCTAATTTGGTCTGCAAATTACAGAAGTCTCTCTATGGATTAAAACAAGCAAGCCGACAATGGTATTCTAAATTGTCTCTTGCTTTGCTTTCTTATGGCTACAAACAATCTGCCTCTGATCATTCTTTATTTTTCAAAGCCAATTCTTCTTCTTTTACTGCCCTTTTGATATATGTTGATGATGTGGTGCTTACTGGCAATGACATGACTGAGATCAACCTTGTTAAACAACAACTAGATACGGCTTTCACAATTAAAGACCTTGGTGACCTTCGGTATTTTCTTGGGTTAGAGCTTGCTAGAACTAAACAAGGTATTTTTTTATCCCAACGAAAGTTTGCCCTAGAACTACTTGAAGACACTGGTTATTTGGCTTGTAAACCAGCATCCACTCCAATGGATCCTCATCTCAAGCTTTCTAAAGATAAGGGTCAACCACTTCCGGATCCACAGCTTTATAGGAAACTCATTGGGAGACTCCAATACCTCACTACCACTCGGCCTGATCTTAGTTTTGCAACTCAACAACTAAGTCAATTTATGTCTGATCCACGTGACATTCACTTACAGGCAGCCCATCGTGTCTTGAGATATCTCAAATCCTCTCCTGGTGCTGGTCTTTTCTTTTCTTCAACATCTGATTTGAAGTTAAGAAGCTTTAGTGACTCTGATTGGGTGAGTTGTGTAGACACAAGGCGTTCTGTTACTAGTTTTGCTGTGTTTATTGGTTCCTCTTTGATATCTTGGAAAGCAAAGAAACAATCAATAGTGTCTCGGTCCTCTTCTGAAGCTGAATATAGAGCTCTAGCTGCTACTACTTGTGAATTGCAATGGCTCATATATCTTCTCAATGACTTTGATCTATCTCACATTGATCCAGCTCTACTGTACTGTGATAATCAATCTGCCATTCAGATTGCAGCAAATCCAATTTTCCATGAAAGAACAAAACACAGAACTGGATTGCCACTTAGTCAGAGAAAAGTTACAAGCTAAGATCATTCATCTTCTTCCTGTGAGCTCTTCAGACCAGTTAGTAGATGTGTTTACAAAACCACTTCATCCTACAAGGTTTCATGATCTTATTTCCAAGCTGGGCATGAAAAATATCCATGCTCCAGCTTGCGGGGGGTGATAGGATAATAACTATTGTTAGGTTAATACTTGTAATTAAGTTATAACCAATTGTATTCAGTTAGCATTCTATTACGCAGATAGGTGCTCTACTCATGTATATAAACAGATTCTCATTAATGAAATATTCAGGATATTGATTTCCATTTCATCTAGCAACAATCGCCATGATGGATTAATAAAGTGTTGCCGTTACAGTAATTAGAAAGATCTTCTTCATCAGAAAAGCATTTGCAACAATCAAAGTCATCTATCTCATAAAGTGGGCTCATTAACCCTTCCCTCCATCATAACCTCATTTGGGACTGTGATGCTGTCTCAATTGTAGAACTAGATAACCGAGGAACCTGATCATCCAAAAATTTCGGAAGTTTATAGAGGTCAATTGAATCAGAAGGCAGAGCTGGGCAATCAAATTGGAAATTTGAATTAACAGATTCCTCAAATGGTACAGACATGAAGCTTGCTAATGGAATAACTTCACCTATAGAATCAAGGTCAAGCTTGGAACTTTCTTCAGATGCTCTCCATGCACCCATGGCATGCCAACATGGATATTTGAACTGGAGTTTGAATAACAGAGGTTTGAATTGGAGGTAACATCACCACCATTGCCTACAATATCCAAATCAGACTCAGACGCTCTTTGACTAAAAGGAGTCAAAGTTACTTCATTAGGACAGAATATGAGGTGGGGACTCTTCAAATAGAGATGGCAATCTAGGAAGAAAATTGCAATGGTCATTTAGAACAGAAGAGGACATGGATTTTTGGCCAATTTTAGAACGTGATTTATTCCCAGGTTGCCTCTGATAAAGGCACGGGGGATTCTTCTTAAATTTTTGAACCTTCTCTGAAGCTTCAGTGTGCTTCCCACTATTACCTTTTGCAAGGTTCTCTTTAGCTTTAGGCTGTCTCAGAGGAGGCACATTGAGGATTGAATTGGGAGTTTTGGAGAGGTATTTTGTTCTAGAGGTAGAAGATTTTGAGGAAGAGGAAGAAGAGTGGGAGCGGAAAAATCTGAGGCAACCTCTTGAAGCTTCAACAGAGATGCCGGAAGAATCACTGCTATTGCTGCTATCAGAAATGCGGTTCAGATCCTGCAATGAGTTTTGAGGACTTTGCTTCCTCCTTTGCACTGACTTTGCAAAGGATCTTGGAGGCGGTGCTGTGACGGGACCAAATGCATCCAAGACGATACTTCCATGAACTTACTTCGTTCAATCAACAAAATCATTGAGAGTGCAGAAAATGAAAGAGACACAGCAATGACACTAAGAAGAGACGCAGAGGAATGGAAACAATAGAGATAAGCAAGAATATGTGAATGGGAAGATGGAAAAGAGACAGGAGGTTTTACGCGATTCAGCATATACATACTAGTATATTTTAACAAATTAAAGAAGCTCAAAAAAATGAAAACAGAATTAAACAAAACAATCTTCTGCAATCACAAATCAGATGAGGGAAAGATATATAAATATACTTTAATATCTCTACAAACTAAAGAAACAAGCCTTTTCAGCTTTGCAATAACCCCTTTCACCAACATAAGGATAATCATCTTTACTGAGCCCACCATTTTCGACCACCCATTTAAAGGCCTTCATGGGAAATCCTCCTGAACAATCATGGTTGGTGAGGTCACAATCCACAAGTTCTTGTTCAGAAAGGCGAACAAGTTCCCTGGTTCTTATTGCATTCACTGATTCAATGGTCCCACTGGTTGCGAATGCCCAACAACCTCCTATGAACCATGAAACATCAATCAACGTGTTAGCCCACTGAGGTCCCAAAGAATAATATAAGTATAACTTAGAATATTTTTAAGTTACTTTGGACTATAGACTAACTTCTGTTAGATCAGAAACGTTAAGGTTAAAGCTTTTTTATGCTTTTGAGATTCGAACTTGTATTCTCCTCCTTATAGCATGTATTTTAAGTTTATGTTCTTCAATAAAATATATATACAAGAGCAACTCACCACATCTTTGCTGGTTTTTAACTGGAGTCACAACTCCTTTCTGCCTCCAATCCATGGAAGAAGGTGAATTTTCACATGAATTGCTTTGCTGCGTACATCCCGACCTAGAGGTAGCCGGTGCGATTGTGGTTGGAACCTCCGGGTGACGGAGGTATACTCTCTTAAACTCCTCTGGACTCATATCAGCAAACTTATTGAGTCCCAAACAATAGGCACCAGAGGAATTGGATCTCTTGGCATTCGTGTCAGTGACGTACTTGAGATTCCTTTGGAATATTTGGAATCTAGTGTTGCTTTTTTCAGAGTTTGGGGAGACTCTTCCATGCTCCGCCATCCATTGCTGGAACATTTCAAAGTCTTGTTCAGCCTTCGAAAGGGAAACTGATGATCCACTGGTAGGGAATCCTGAAGAGAGACATATCAGAATAGAACACCAGATCAAGGGAAAAAGGAATTGAAATATACTAGCGTAGAAGGCCATGCTTATTTTGCTGTTTCAGTTACTGAGAATGAAACTTCAAATAAGCTTGCATGGAAGTAAATTCATCCATGAGGTATTTATTGTATAATTCTTGTTACTGGTAGAAGAAAGCGACACAGATTGATGTCAATATTTTTTTAATTGACTCATGATGATAATTATTCACATTTTCCAGCTACTAGTTCATTATAAATCTTAGATAAATAAAAGTAGCTTATTGAAGTGTGAAGAACTCATGGGGGAGAGAATTGAGCAAAGAACTGATACTTCTTTATCAGAGGAACACAAATTCACCACATGAAGTTTTCTCTCCCAAAGCTTGGGCTTATGTCCCAAACACTTGTCACGTACGTGCCATTGTCAATTCCTGATGTGAAGTTGACAAACTCAATTATTTTTATATATTTTGATATCTTTTATATGGGTTTTTTCAACTTAATTAGTCCTTTTGGCCTTAATTGATTATTAATTGATTTAATATGTTTTATTTTGAATTATTATTTTTTAGGGGCAAAATTGTCATATTTTGGTTTAATTGTGACTAATTGATTTTTGAGGACAATTAATGCTACCTTATCTTTGAATTTTTGCTTGTGGGTTTTTGGAAGATTTTGAAAATAAAAAAAATAAAAAGAAAGGAAAAAAATATAAAATAAAATAATAAAAGGGGGGGAGCAAAACGCTGCGTTTTGCTCCACCCCTAATATCTAATAATTCAATCTTCTTCTTCATCTTGGAGAGACACGAACACGGAGAGAGTTGGCGGCTGCAGAAAAGCAGAGGAGACGCGAATGAAACACACACACGCTAGCTCTTGACGGCGAAGGACCAGAGTGAGGCAGAGTCTTCCATCACCACCATCTTCGTCTTTGCTGAATCCTCCTAGTTGCAGAGAGAGGAGTGCGACAGCGAGAGGCGTGACCGACAAGGAGACCAGGCGGACAAAGGAGCGGGACGAAAACAGGGGAGGCTGAACACGAAACACACACACACGCTAGCTGGGACGAAACAGAGGAGTGAGCGACGGTAGAGGGGGAACCTCCCTTCATCACCATCGTCTTCATCTTCTTCCCTTCTCAGCGCAACCAGCGAGTTGAGGAGCTCGGCGGAGACAGAGCTGAGGGCAGGGACCAGTGACGGCACGTTCTCGACGAACCAGTGAACCAGAAGGAGTGAAACAGCCAAACAGAGGCTCACGGTGTCATCCTTAATCATCTTTGCACTGTACCGTCGAGCTTCCATGGCAAACCGTAACAGAGCTCTAATTATGGCACTTTTGTGATGGCAAACCGTGGCTAGCTTCACAATTCTCTAATTCAAGAATAATGGCAGGAGCTTGGATCATCAAAGGGGAGTTTTAATTGCTTTAATCTCCTACTCAATAATTTGTTTAACAATTCCTAGGTCTCAGATAGTTTTTCTGATTATTGGGATAATTGTATTGCTTAATCTGATTATATCTGGAAATTATTGTGACTGAATTATTGCTTAGCATTTGACATTGGGCTATTTATGGCTTTGATTTCAATTATATGTTGTGGTCATGACATTTGTATTGATTTTGGAGTTAAATATTGTGATTTTCTAAGGTGGCTTGGAATTTTGGATCATATTGTCTCTTTGCTAGCTTTAATTCTGTTATTTTTGGATTTAAGAGTTCTAATTAAGCATTGGTTTTTAGCATCCTTAATCCCATTTTACTATTCTGGTTGCAGTTAGTAAGTTGAGATTTTAGGAAAATATTTTGTGGCAACTCGAGGTGGCTCGGTTGTTGGATTAAAAGCTTAATTATAATTCTTAATTCATTGTTTTAACTCCCACATCTTTAAAGTGATGATTGCCTGCGTTGTTGAATTGGAGGATTGATTATTATCAGTGTTATTTGTGTGTCTCATTTTCATTTCTTTAATCTTCATTCATTTTAATCACTTTTATATAAAAAAAAGTATTTTAATTTCAATTTAATTCAAGGTGTTTACTTAGCAATTATCAAATTAAAAATCATTTTTATAGTTTAGGTTACTTGCATTTATTTACTAGGATTTAATTTCTTTTTCGGCTCCTCAAAGTGAAACAACTCGAGTTTTGCACTATATTGCATTACTCCAAAAATTCGGTTAATTTTTGGAGTAACCCCAAAGCGACAAATTAAGGGCAAGTTAACTTCAAGTGGCGCCGTTGCCGGGGAGCCAAGAAATTGGTTCTCTAGTAATTAAGTGTCAAGTAGCCTTGATTGGGGTTCCTTTGTTGAGCCTTTTTAGTTTTTATTTTTGTTATTTTTTGCATTTTCTTTAGTAGTTTGCATTTGTTTCTTTTGATTTTTCATAGCATTTCTTTCCTTTGCATAGAAAATTTCTCAAAAATACAACTAAATATCTTGATTTTTCATTCATTGCATTTTTCATTCTCATACACATACACTTACATTGCATTGCATTCATCTGTTTTCTTTTGCTTAATTGCTTCTGGTTGATTGATTGTTTATGCCAAGAAAGGGTAGGTCTAAAACCCTAGTTCCTTCCAATCTTGAGCTTCAAAGTTATTTAAGGGAAGTTAGACAAGACCAAGGGGTAGAAAGGACTAGTGAGGTTGAACTAGACAATTTAACTGATCCAGATTTGGTGGTTGACTTAGGTGACATAATGGAAACAGTTAATAATCCTAATGGTAACAACAATGGTGGTAATGAGAGAGGGGGCAATGGACATAATGGGGAGCATGATAGAGTAGGAGAAAATAATGGAGATAACCCTAGAAGAAGAACCATTAGGGAAGCCACTACTTCTGATGCAAATTATGATCCTTTTAATGTTGCATGCCCTAATGTTGATGTTAATTTTGAGATTAAAGGTCCACTGCTTAATTCTTTGCCTAAATTCTATGGTTTGACAGGTGAGGACCCATACAATCATCTGAAATCTCTCTCTATGGTATGTGCTAGCATGAAACCGGTTGGAGCTAATCTGGATGAGGTTCTTTGGAAGGTATTCCACTTGTCTCTGGAGGGCAAAGCGCGAGAATGGTACATGAGCTTGCCTAGGCATATGGCAGATGCCTACCATAACTGGAACAACCTCAGAAAAGCATTCTTGGAGAAGTATTTCCCTGCTTCCCGGACATCTACATTGAGAAAAGAGATCTACTCTGCAAAGCAAGATTATGATGAGTCACTTTATGACTACTGGAACCGTTTTCAGGACTTGCTTTCTAGATGTCCACACCATCAAATTCCAGATGAGCAGTTAGTCCAATACTTTTATGATGGACTTAAGACCCAAGATAAGGGGATGTTGGATGCTGCTTCTGGGGGTTCTCTCATTGATTTAACTGCTGAGGAGGCATGGGAACTTATCAAGAAAATGGCATTGAACCATCAACAGTATAGCATCAGGGAGTCTAAAAACATCAATGCAATGCATGCTAATCCTTCTTCAGTCCACATTCCTCAATTGGACACATTCACTTCTCAAATTGCTGCTTTGACTACACAGTTGAATAAGCTTGCATCTCACACTCCCCCTACTGACACTCGGAATCCTAATTCCATGGAGATGACTGCACCTAGTTGTGAGCATTGTACCTCTGTTATGCACATCTCTACTGCTTGCCCTCATAGATATGAGTGAAGTTTCCGCCATGTATCAAGGAAGGCCAATCAATCTGTAACATCTCGATTTTTGGGCCCTGAAGTACTAGAAATAGCCTGAATAAGATAGGCTACTAGACCCCTTTTTAGTAGAGGTCTTAAAGATGAGAAGAAGTTAAGCAGTTTTAGGGACTAAACTGCAAAGTAAATGTTTTAAGGGGCTAAAGGGTAATCAAAGTTAGAGGCTCCAGTAAAGTCTCAAAGGCCCAGAAAGAGAAAAGAGGCTAGATACAGACCAAAGATTAAGTTAGAAGCCTCAAAGAGATTGTTTTATGAGGTTGAGCCTAAGCAGGGGTAAAACCGTAAATTCAAAAAGTTACGGCCATCAGGGGTAAAAATGGAAAGTACTTAGAAAATTCTAAGAAAATCCCAAAAAATGGGAAATAATATTCTAAGACTCTTTTGTGAAGAGAGATGATAAAATACCCCTGAGGTAACTTAAAGGAATTTATAAGTTTATGGCTCAATTTGAGATGTAGAGGTAGATTTAATTGTTTGAGTCATAAGAAAGCCTCAGAAATTATGGTAAAATGGGGATGTATGATCTAAGAGACTATAAAAAATTATAAATTAGTCTCATCCCCAGAAGACCAGCAAAATGGTTTTTAAGAATTCTTAAAAGCCAGTTATGCCGAAAAAGGGCATTTTAAAGAATGATTTTTAAGTGGAGCTACAGGTTGAGTTATGACCTGAGAAAATTCACAGATTTTCTCTAGAATATGAGGAATTTTATGATATTTTTTGGATGAATTTTTTGGAGCTCTAGATTGAATAAAATGCTCCGGTCAAATATTAAATAATTTTGTCTCCTAAATAGGAGACAAAACCAAAGAAAATATCTAAGAGCCATCATGACGATGCTGAGTCAGCGTGCTGAGTCATCAAGCGTAATCATGACACCTACGAGTCATCATACTGAGTCACCAGAAGATATTTATGGACATCATAAAAATCAGAATGCAGTATGGGAATATTTTAGACAGTCTTTTGTCTACCCGTTATAGTGAAATCTCTACTGCATGACTCAGTAAGGTTAAGTAGCCTGTCAGTAGAGCTAATTATTTTCATCTATGCTCCTCTGAGATGGTGCCATATATGTACCTTTTATTGGCCAGAATTTTAAGAAGAAGTTGTCCCAATGGTACAAGGTAAGTCAAGACTCAAAAAGTACTGCTGATATGGTGCAAGATTGGCTTGATAGGTGGAGAAATAATTAAGAGAATATTTTTGCACGAATTTCCATTTATTTTCTCCCTATTTTAATGCCATAAATGATGAAAGGACATGAAAGTGACAAGTGTACGGTTAGATGAGAAAAAGAAAATATTACGTGTACGGCTAGATGGAAGACACGTGTACGGTCGGATGCAAGACACATGTGCTGTTGGATTAAAGACATGTGGCTTGATGATGTAAGCATGATATCATCATGATGAGGTAAGCATGATGTCATAGGACACTTGTCACTGTAAGATCAAAAGAGAAAATGGACGGTCCAGATCGAGCCACGTATTTTTAAGATCAACGGTCCAGATTCAGTCTGCTTTTCTATAAATACCCCCTCCCCTCCCTACCATTTCGTCGAAGCATAAGGAATCCATGGGAAAGCTCTTGCAAAATGGTTTCTAGAGAGAGAAAGAAGAGGGAGAAAGAAAGGCCAAGTGGTTCCAAGCCAGATCAAACTCTAAAACAATGTATGTGATGGTTATAGC